TCAGTTTGGCCAGTGGTTTATCAATTTTGTTGATCTTTTCAAAGAACCAGCTTTTGGTTTTGTTAACTCTTTCAATTGTTTTTCTATTCTCTACTTCATTTAATTCTGCTCTAATTCTTATTATTTGCTTTCTTCTGACACCTGAGGGCTTCTTTTGCTATTCTCTTTCTGTTTGTTACAGTTGTAGGGTTAATGTTTTGATTTTGGCCCTTTCTTCTTTTTGGATGCGTGCATTTATTTGTATAAGCTGACCTCTGAGCACTGCTTTTGCTGTGTCCCAAAGGTTCTGGTAGGATGTGTTTTCTTTTTTCATTCTCTTTGATTCTATGAATTTCTTTATTCCTTCCTTAATTTCTTCTATAACCCAGTAGTTTTTTAGGAAGATGTTGTTCAGTTTCCATGTGTTTGATTGTTTTTTTGCTTGGTTTTTCTGTGATTGATTTCTACTTTTATGGCTTTATGGTCAGAAAAGATGCTTTGTAATATTTTGTTTCTGTTAAGGCTTGCTTTATAGCTTAATATGTGGTCTATTCTGGAGAATGCTCCATGTGTGTTGGAAAAGAAAGTATACTTGGCTGCTGTTGAGTGGAATGTTCAGTATATGTCTATGAGATCAAGTTGGCTGATGGTAGCATTTAGATCTTCTGTGTTTTTATTGAGCTTCTTTCTGGATGTTCTGTCCTTCACTGAAAGTGTGTGTTGAAGTCTCCTACTATTACTGTGGGGCTGTCTATCTCTCTTTTCAGTGCTGTTAGAGTTTGTTTATGTATTTTGGAGCCCTGTCATTGGGTGCTTAAATATGTATTACAGTTATGTCCTCCTGGAGTCCTGATGCTTTAATCATTATATAACATCTTTCCTTATCCTTTGTGGTAGAATTTTACTTTAAAGTCTATTTTGTCAGAGATGAATATTGCCACTCCTGCTCTTTTTTGAGTGTTGTTTGCTTGATATATGTTTTTCCATCTGTTGAGTTTTAGCCTGTTTATGTCTTTAAGTCTAAAGTGTGTCTCTTGTAGGCAGCATACAGATGGATCATGCTTTTTTATCCAATCTGCCACTCTCTGTCTCTTTATTGGTGCATCAAGTCCATTTACGTTCAGTGTAATTATTGATAGGTATGAGTTTAGTGCTGTCATTTGGATGTCTTTTTTGTGTGTGTTGTTGACAGTTTCTTTGTTTCACTTAATTTTCTGTGCTGAGTTGTTTTTCTTTATGTATTTTTTTTCCATCTTTTTCATTGTTGTTGATTTTGTATTTGCTGAGTCTTCATTTTTTTTTTTTTTTTTGACTTGTAGAATTGTTAGTTTCCTTTGTGGTTGCCTTAATATTAACTCCTATGTTTCTAATTTTAAACCAGTATTTTATTTCTTTATATTGCCTTGACTTCCTCTCCAT